AAACTGACATCCCGGACCTCATATCCCGGTTACATGTTCCTTGTAACTTCAAATACAATTTTATAATGTTTAGCATATTTACTACGTTCATGCGGTGAGATTTGAGAGACACACGCGAAATTTTGTGTCAATTAATCATCCCTTCAGTATTTAAAATTTTGTATTATAGACTCCTGAATTCAGTACAAAGGCTAATGAATATTAGCAATTTTTCATTATTTGAATCCACTTCTGCCGCTTATTTGATCACCTCTGCGGCTGTGAAACGACTTTATTCTAAAAGACGAACAGTTTCTTCGCTCGTTTTTTCTCTTATGCTTTCAGTTGCATCCAACGAACTTCTTTTGCTTTCAGTTGCATCAATATAAAATTAAAGGCAAGGAAACATTCCCCGTCGGCTAAGATTTTAGTCATGTGGATGAGTTAACATACGTCGAATCCATCGAACAATAAATTAATGTGCTACGTGTATATAAAAAAATTTTTGAGCTTACAATCAAGTTCCTTTGATTTCATTCTTGAGTGGCAGCTGAGCGATATTAGACAGATGTGACCACAGCAATTGCTGTGACACACCGAACCTGTCTGCATGGTGGCCTGAAAAGGCCAAATTACTACCTACTGAAGGCCTGCGAAATGACCCGAGTAATGTCATCAAATGCTAATCTTTTTATCGGCGCGGTGAGCCTAGGAGTCTGATACAAACAGTTTCTAAGTTAGGGACCAAGATTTGTATTAGAATAAATGCAGTTGACCTAAAACGGTTACTTATAATTAGCCATGGAGAATTAGACGGTCACTTAATTTAACAAGCCTGCTATCGTCCATGGACAAACAGAAAATTCAGCAAGCGTAATTGATGCCTTGACGATGTTTGGAGGTCAATATACTTGTAACAACAACCAAAAGTAAAAATAATAGATACAAAAAAGTCAGCAGCCATGTGAACAAAATCGCCAAAATTTTCTTCACAAACATAAGAAAAATATGTAGAAAAAATTATCGAGAGTGACGTCCCAGATTAACTCGATTCGGCAATAAAATTGGCAAAACTCCACCAAATTCATTCTTTTTAAGATAGGTAAAGTTTATTACTCCTAGAATAACTGTGAAATATTTATTGCGTTCACGCTTACTTTTTTTTATCTACCTCGCTTCTTCGGGCCGTATGTGACAGGGTGTCATTTGTACACAAAGTGGAAATTTCTTGCAATTTTTCCATTCAATTCCTTCATTTTTCAAATTATAAGCATGAATAAATGGAGAAATAAGTCAATGAATAACGTTTTTCCAGTCGTACTTCCTGCTCATATAGTCACGGTTTAGAAACTCTTCAGGAAAGAAGTATTTCAGGCAAGTTTTATACATCTAGCCATCGGCTACAGACGGTTATTGTATTTTGTATGAATGAGAAATTGTGAGCATTTCCATTGCATTTTCTAAAGCCAAAGCTTTCTCTCACATCAGCTAAGATGTAACTGTTGAGGCTATTGAATAAGACATTAAGCACCTCTGCCAATTACCGTCATTAGCTGCCGTTTCCTTAAGGCTCAGGTTGAGAACCACGAACCCTCAGGCAGGCTCGGCTGGTGCCCTATATGGGATTCTATCACTAAGTTGATTCGTTATAACTCCGCTCTTAAATGAAATATCAATCTGAATTTTTGAATGCTCAGAAATGATACTTCTTACTTAGAATGTGACAAAATCTGAAGTAAAAATTTATAGAACAGAATAAAATAGAATAGAAAAGAATAGAATAGAATAGAATAGAATAGAATAGAATAGAATAGAATAGAATAGAATAGAATAGAAAAGAATAGAATAGAATAGAATAGAATAGAATAGAATAGAATAGAATAGAATAGAATAGAATAGAATAGAATAGAATAGAATAGAATAGAATAGAATAGAATAGAATAGAATAGAATAGAATAGAATAGAATAGAATAGAATAGAATAGAATAGAATAGAATAGAATAGAATAGAATAGAATAGAATAGAATAGAATAGAATAGAATAGAATAGAATAGAATAGAATAGAATAGAATAGAATAGAATAGAATAGAATAGAATAGAATAGAATAGAATAGAATAGAATAGAATAGAATAGAATAGAATAGAATAGAATAGAATAGAATAGAATAGAATAGAATAGAATAGAATAGAATAGAATAGAATAGAATAGAATAGAATAGAATAGAATAGAATAGAATAGAATAGAATAGAATAGAATAGAATAGAAGTGTCGGCGTTGAAGAAATAGGCCCATGGCCTGTTGCCGATTCTTGAACTTTTCGTGACTTGATTCACAAGGGATCCGGCCTTTGGAACCCGATCTTTCCATAACTGACGATTGATTGAGATAGCTGCTGGACTTATTGCCTGCTCCGTAATTTGCTAGGCATTTTAAGACTGAACATATGCTCCTGCATAGCTTCGTCTAGTCTGTTTTTGAAGATGTTCATACTCGGAGCTTCAACGATGCTATCAGGGAGGCTGTTCCACATGTCGGTGACTCGAAGCGAGAAGAAATGTTGTCGCATGGATGTGTTCCAACGCTGTTTTTTTAGTTTATAGCCGTGGCCCCTGGTGTTGGTTCTTGTTTCAAATTCTAGTAATCCTTCTGGGACCTTGTATAAGCCATGAGTATATTTGTATACTTCAATGAGGTCCCCACGCAGACGTCGATAATGGAGGCTTGGAAGCTTCATAATCTTTAATCTTTCCTCATAGGACTTGCCTTTCAAGCCCGGAACTATCCTTGTTGCGCGTCTTTGAACACTCTCTACTAAATTTTTGTCCTTTTCAAATTTCGGTGACCACACGACGTTTCCAAACTCCAGGTTCGGGCGCACGACAGCAACAAACAACTGCTTCATCGTTTCTAAATCTAGGAACTCGAAAGAGCGTCTGATCAGTCCAAGTCGTTGATTGGCTTTATTAACTTGACCTTCAATATGCTTAGAAAATTTCAACTCATTGTCGATATTAACTCCTAAATCCTTTTCCGTTGTCGACTTCGACATCATCACTCTGTCGTTGCAACCGTGTCTTCTCATACTGTAATCTTGCTGTTCATTATTCTTGCCAAGGTGGATAACTTTACATTTGTCAGCGTTAAAACGCAGCTGCCACTTATCAGCCCAGTCAACCAGCCTGTCAAGATCACCTTGCAACTGTATTTTTTGCGACGTATTCTTCACTGTATTATAAATTTTTGTGTCGTCAGCATACACCGAGCAAACGCTAGACACAGCTTCTGGCAGATCGTTTATAAACGCAACGAATAGAATAGGCCCGAGAACGCTTCCTTGTGGCACGCCGCTGCGCACTGAAGCCCAGTCTGAAACGGACCCATTAATACTGACACGTTGTCGCCTCCCTACTAGAAAATCTCTGATCCATTTGAGTACATTACTCTCAATTCCCAAAGACTTCAATTTATGCAACAGCCGTTCATGTGGGACGCTGTCAAATGCCTTGGAAAAATCGAGGTACACTGCATCTACTGGCTCCCTTTCGTCCAGCAGATGGGTCCATTCATTCAGAGTCGACAAGAGGTTAGTGGTGCAGGATCTCCCGGCAATAAAGCCATGTTGACAGTCTGATAGGAGACTATTAGCAGTCAAATGATCTATCAATCGATCCCTCACAACAGATTCCATTACCTTGCAAACGACACTTGTCAAACTGACAGGGCGATAGTTGCCCGGGCAGCTTTTGTCACCTTTTTTGAACAATTGTGTCACTTGGGCTTCTTTCCAGTCAGCCGGCAACATTCCTTCGTTCAAAGTTTTTCGAAAAAATGACGTCAGAAGGCCGGCTAGGACAGTTGCTAACTCTTTGAGTTATCTGGGGTGGAAGCCGTCTGGTCCACATGACTTGTTTGGATTTACAGCGATAAGGCGCTTGAGATTGGAGTGTTCATCACTCCATCAACACTCCACATCATTTGGAGTGTTGCCATTGATGTGGTTGTTGTCATTTGGAGTGTTGCCATTGACAGTATTGACTCACGATTCATGATCAACGATAATGAAGTGTTTAACAGTTTAATTTAGCGATATCATGATTGTATAACAGTCGATATGACGTCAAAACGAACGGACGCTCATGTTTGGATGAAAACACAGTTTACATCATGACATGACGTGCTCATTATTCGACGCACATGACACGACGTTCATGACAGGACGCATGACTCACATTGCCATGACGCACATTCTATATGATGAGGTACATTCTTATATGATGCCAGAAGGACCAATATATGCATTCAAACCAGTATAAGAACTCAATCCATGGAGAGATCAGGGTCCAAATTACTCATTCCATGTGACGAGTTGATCAGCATTCATTCTAACAGAGGAAACAGCCTGACGCAATAACGGGTTTCTAAATTTTAAAATATTGTTTAATCAGTTGCCACTAAATGTAGTAAATAGATTAGAATTTATGAAAAATGAAAACGAAGAGTCCTTAGAAAGTTATAACGTACGATGCAAACACTAAATGTAGTAAATGGATTAGGATTTATGAAAGTTGAAAACGAAGATGCCTTAGAAAGTTGTAACGTATGATGCAAGAAAGATTGAACTGGAATTAATTTGAATACATTTAAAAAAATATCAATTGCCAATCTAAATCAAACAAATATTGGGTGTCATCTGTGGTCTTCTTAACGCTTGTATGGGAAGGCGTTAAGAAGACCAAAAGTCGTATTAAAAATAGAACTTCTCTCAATGAATCCTTAAATACGATGATCATAATACGGTGCACATGTTTCGTTAAAATGGCGTTCAGTCAGCGTTCATAGCTTAAGCGGCGCCTGAGGATCGGGATACGTGACTAAGGTCGTGTAGGACAAGTAAGACACATCTGTCTGGATAACATATGTTGTATACGGGGTGGTAATACAATAGTTACGATACAGAGGTATAAGCTACGGCGTCGACCGTTAGGTCGGAGAACTCAACCGCGAGCTTCATCGCAGAGCGCTTATCAACTACTGCGGGGGGCATTACTAAGGTTCCCAGCCCTTTTATAGTCATCGTACCTCCGTTCACCGGGTTCTTGTCCTCGTGACACATCTGCTGATTAATCAACTGACTCAGCGTCAAGGCAAGCTCTCAGTGACACCGTGAACTCATAGCTAACTGGGTCTGCTTGTGAACACATGAGGATTTGTATGCACAAATTACTCTCGGACAGCTCTTAAGTCGACGTGTTAGTGACTGTAATACAATGCAGTCTAATTATTTATTTCAAATGTAACATTTCACAAGCAAGCGGGCATCGATTTAGCTATTTTGGGAAATTTTTTTTCTTCACAGAATGCTCATTTGAAGCTTGTCGAGATAATTTCATCAGCCTAAAGCAAAATATTAAAGTTAAATATCATAAATAAAGGTGGCTCAGCCCTCAAATTAAATTACTTTGTTTAGTAGTATGATGCGTTATCATATATATTTCCTTAATTTTCATACATCTGAAATTTTGGCGCAGCGAATTGTTATGCACAACGTTTGTGTAAACGGCTATCATTGACGAGTAATAAGATTTTCCTCGACGGTTTTTTGCGCTATTTCTCTAAAAGATTATGCTCAAGCTTCCAAACGACAGTGTGACTCATCACTATTTAATAACACACTTTTGATTATGTAAACTGGAGTTATCGCACTTCAAAGACAAGGCTCAGTTACTGCTTCTTGTGTTTTCCACCGAATCTCCTACAAAGCTTCGCACATTTTTGCCACAAGTTGCGAAAGATCCACATAAAGATTTTGAAGATGACGTACGCTAGCACCAGCAGGAGCGCCAGGAGGTCCAAGTGCAGCAGCTGCACCCATCCCAGGTGCTTGGCGGGGGACTGCAGGTGCGGCGCCCCCGCATGTCTCGCCACGTACTCCGTCCAGTATATGGCCCGGTCCAGCGGACTCTCCCGCTGGTCCTGGAACTGTCGCGACTTCACTTCCATTTTCTCGCGGTAACTGAATAACAAAAAATAATAATAAAAATTTATCAAAGGAAGGCAAAAGTTCTAAATGAATTTAGGTTAGTTTAAAGATAATGTTAGGGCCCTTGGCACTCAAATTAGGATGATCTGAAATAAGTGGTCTTAAAAAGTCAGTAGCATTGTAGAGAAGTGCCACTGGTTTCGATAAGCTTTCGATAAGCAGATTTAATTAAAGGAGAACAAGTTTATTGAAAACTTTTTATTTAATTGGTATAAAAAAAACTCCTATCAACTTTTGAAATACTAGTATGATTTACTCGATTTTTCCTTTCACATCCTCGGAAAAAAAACATTGAAATTACTAAAAAGATCGTAATCATAATAAAAACTGATCATACTCAGTTTCAATTATTCAAACATGAGCCAAGTGGCGGTTTAACTTGAATTTTTACATGATACTGGTAGCTTGAATCATCTTGCATTTCTAACGAGTATTTGATAAATGTCGCAAAAAAATTTCAAACCTTGCGTTGCTCACGACCTCCACAATTGCGTCAAATAAAGCGTCTTCGGTCAGAGTATCCCATGTGAGTTTTATGCCCAGGCCGTCGTTGTGGAGTCGATCAATCCGTCCTGTATGATCGACGTTGATTGGCAGGCCTACGATCGGTACGCCGTGAAATACGGCCTCATAGACGCTGTTAAGTCCTCCATGGCTTATGAAGGCTTTCACGTTCCCGTGAGCTGATGAAGTGATAACTGAGACTTAATGACTACACACCAAACGCCATCTTCATTTACTCAGTGACGGGAATATTGAGCAATGTTCTCATAATTTTCAGTAACTATTCATATTGTTCAACGCAAACCATTACATTGTCCAACGTCGAGTTTGTAATTGACTTGACAAACTCGACTCACTCACCTAGAATGTCCACCTGTGGTAACCACTTCTTAATCAAAAGGTTCGGTACTTCAGTTGCAGGCTGTTCTTCGAATTTCATGATAATTTTGTAAGGCAGCCTTGCGAAGACTGAATAAAATATATTTTTTAATTCATAAGGGATGAGGTCGCTCCTGCCAAACAGGGACCCCAAGCTCATATAGACCACTGGCGTATCTCCAGAAATGAAGTCTTCCAATTCCTGCGATAGATCAAATATCAAATTTTATTTTATTTATCTAATGAATACACAGTAATGAGTATTCAATTTTTCAATTTCAAAATTTCTGCGCCGTGTATTTGTTTTTACAATCGATAATTCAAGATGTAAACACCAGCGGTAGTGGCTTCGAGGGCAGGAGCGCAATGGCCCCCAATGGAATCTGGAGTGGCAGCAGTGGTATGGCACCGTCGAGCGCTGCGTCCGTAAGAATGAAATGTAGGCTTGCGTTTCGCTCCACTTCCGCCAAAGAAGGCAGGTAAGGGAAACGACTATGTATCTGTGAGGTAAATATGATCAAAACTGATAAATTTTCATGACCCATAAGTAAAAGAAACATATTATATGAATATATTTTACGAATACATGACGAGAACAAATGATTATACATGGAATATTATCAAATTGATATCTGATTGACATCTGATTCAAAATGACGGTCGAATATCATCAGCAGTCTTGAGCAGTGATAGCTACCACCATCAGTAAAAAATGATGCTAAGTCTATATCAGGACTGAGTTTTACGTAAAAAGCTAGATTTATTTCGTTATTTGATATTCGGTTTTATTGTTATTTGATAAAACCTCCAACAAATAATTAATACGTTAAATGTCTTAATCGCATTTCAATACATTAAACAATTCTCGCCTTCATCATCGCGCGGTATCTCAGTTAATCACCTAGCCCTTGCTCCCATTGTGTCCTAACAAACGATATTTGAGAGGCACAAATTTGCTATGCAAATTTTCTATGCAAATTTGTTCATAGCAAATCCTTACCAACTTATAGCAACTTATTTGTGCATAGCAAATCCTTACCAACATCCTTACCAACTCAGCCACATTTTCACATCCTTACCAAATTTTCTGAGGCCAATGGTATAGCATAGCGAAATATCATTGAAAAAAATATGGTTTCGAAGAAGTTCTTAAAGCGATCCCACGTAGAATATGGCTGAGGATATTCCGAAATGGTGCTCGATACGAAGGCAGGATTTAGAAGGTTGCCGAAATTGGTGCTCTGAACATTAGTCGTCGTCCACGACGAAAGGATGGCAAACGTCATTTCATGTCCAAATGGATACATTACCTGTCATTCAAATGCTTATATAAATAATTTTTAGGTTTTGAATTTCACGTTGGATAAAATGATTTGCTAGAACACAAATAATTGAAGAGTGACCCGATTACAGGTATCAGGCTAAAATATTTTGTTTATTCGTATCTCCATCGTAAAAATAAAGGTATAGCATTATTAGTTGGCAAGAGAGCACCATTAAAAAAATAGAAACATATTTAAGAAATAAAGCAAAGTTGCGAACATGCGATAGTATTTAAACTACAATTTTTGATACATGACATAATTGTATAAATTTATAAATATTAGAAACAATCCAAGAAATCCAAAAGAAAAATATTATTCTGCAAGAAAGTTTACTTACTATGAAAGCTGAAAAGTCAAACACGACAAAATCAAATTCCTTCCTGCGTTCGTAAAGATTCATGACGACGGGATCATCGAACAACTTCATTGCCATCTCCCCGCACACGGATATCATGAACGACAGGAATTTGTGCGGCTTGGAAACGCATTCAAACATCGGCCAGTCTGAGGGCGACGAGAGGTTCGCCCCATGATCCACGTAAGTCACGTTCGGGTGGCGCTCCAGCCAGCTCGCGTCGCTCAACATCGTCACCTGGCAGATAATAAAGATACATAGAGATTATTAAGATACTCTTAAGATACTCAAGATACATTAATTTGAAAATCAAACAATCGTGAAATTTCTTATTTCAGAAATATGTCGAGTGGAAACAAGCTGCTAACAAATGTATAAGGGTTTCCAATTAATTCTTTTCGCATTTAGTTCTTCAAAGAACGTTACTAATGCAGGTTTTGTTGAAAACCAACAAGTAATTCTCATTATAAATTTTCTTATAGTTCTTCTCAGCGTGACGAATTAGAATTTCGGTCGAAAGTTCGAAAATGAAGTTTCCAAGTACATAATATTATTTGCACATATTACCTTTCGACAACTCAACTTTGAGCATGGCAAAACCTTCAGTTTACTAGTTCATTAATAAGGTTTGTTCAAAATGGGGTTAAAATAGGATAAAATTTTCTTTGACAACCTTATCTCTGAACTTGAAATTAAACAAATTCTAAATGCATGTAGCAAATTTTGAGCGTGTGCTTAAAGCCGCAAATATGTAGGGACTGTTTGGGCGCACCTCCACGATACTCATCGTGTCGGGTTATTACAAGAGCCTGAAAAGACAATCTTAGTGAGAGAATGGGTAAGAATTAGACGAAAAAGAAAAAATCGGGTTAAAATTTGAAATTTGATTTTGCTATTAGTCAATATAAATTTAGTTGAAAAGTTGCAAAAAACGAGATTAAAATAGGAACCCTATCTTCTATAGAATAGAATAGAAGTGTCGGCATTGAAAAAATAGGCCCATGGCCTGTTGCCGATTCTTGAACTTTTCGTGACTTGATTCACAAGGGATCCGGCCTTGGGAACCCGATCTTTCCATAACTGACGATTGATTGAGATAGCTGCTGGACTTATTGCCTGGTACGTAATTTACTAGGCATTTTAAGACTGAACATATGCTCCCGCATAGCTTCGTCTAGTCTGTTTTTGAAGATGTTCATACTCTGAGCCTCAAAGATTCTATGAGGGAGGCTGTTCCAACATGTCGGTGACTCGAAGCGAGAAGAAATGTTGTCGCATGGATGTATTCCAACGCTGTTTTTTAGTTTATAGCAGTGGCTCCTGCTGTTGGTTCTTGTTTCAAATTCTAGTAATCCTTCTGGGACCTTGTATAAGCAATGAGTATACTTGCATGCTTCAATGAGGTCCTCACGCAGACGTCGATAACTGAGGTTTGAAAGCTTCATAATCTTTAATCTTTCCTCATAGGACTTGCATTTCAAGCCCGGAACTATCCTTGTTCCGCGTCTTTGAACACTCTCTACTAAATTTTTGTCCTTTTCAAATTTCGGTGACCGCACGTCGTTTCCAAACTCAAGGTTCAGGCGCATGACAGTAACAAACAACTGCTTCATAGCATCTGCATCTAGGAACTCGAAAGAGCGTCTGATCAGTCCAAGTCGTTTATTGGCTTTATTAACTTGACCTTCAATATGCTTAGAAAATTTCAACTCGTTGTCGATATTAACTCCTAAATCTTTTTCAATTGTCGACTTCGAAATCAGCACTCTGTCGTTGCAACCATGTCTCCTCATACTGTAATCTTGCTGTTCATTATTCTTGCCAAGGTGGATAACTTTACATTTGTTAGGGTTAAAACGCAGCTGCCACTTATCAGCCCAGTCAACCAGCCTGTCAAGATCGCCTTGCATCTGTACTTTTGCGACGTATTCTTCACTGTATTATAAATTTTTGTGTCGTCAGTAAACATCGAGCAAACGCTAGACACAGCTTCTGGCAGATCGTTTATAAACGCAACGAATAGAATAGGTCCTAGAACGCTTCCTTGTGGCACGCCGCTGCGCACTGAAGCCCAGTCTGATACGGACCCATTAATACTGACACGTTGTCGCCTCCCTACTAGAAAATCTCTGATCCATTTGAGTACATTACTCTCAATTCCCAAAGACTTCAATTTACGCAACAGCCGCTCATGTGGGACACTGTCAAATGCCTTAGCAAAATCGAGGTACACTACATTTACTGGCTCCCTTTCGTCCAGCAGGCGGGTCCATTCGTTCAGAGTAGATAAGAGGTTAGTGGTGCAGGATCTCCCGGCAATAAAGCCATGTTGACAGTCTGATAGGAGATTATTAGCAGTCAAATGATCTATCAATCGATCCCTCACAATAAATTCCATTACCTTGCAAACGACACTTGTCAAACTGACAGGGCGATAGTTGCCCGGGCAGCTTTTGTCACCTTTTTTGAACAATGGTGTCACTTGAGCTTCTTTCCAATCAGCCGGCAAGATTCCTTCGTTCAAGGTTTTTCGGAAAAATGACGTCAAAGGGCCGGCTAGGACAGTTACTAACTCTTTGAGTAGTCTGGGGTGGAAAAAACATGACTTGTTTGGATTTACAGCGATAAGGCGCTCGAGAACCTCTTCTTGTATTTCAAAACTTGTTAACTTGGCGCTCCTCAATAGCTGGAATACTGTTCAAGTCCTCTTCAGTGAATACGCTACTGAAAAACTTTTACTGCGGTGCGACAGCTTTCTTTAGCTTGATTTCGTGCTCTTGCGTATAGGTTACAGTCAGCATCGCTACGAGTCTGTAAATAACGCTGGTAGGCTTCCTTTTTTGTTTTCAGCTTAGCTAGAACTGTACTGTTCATTCACTGAGTTTTTTTGGCTCCACCAAGACTAATTTTAGGTACACACGCATCAACTGCAGACATAACCGTGTCCTTGAGAAGTGACCATGACTCAGCCACATTCATGTCCTTAATACAGTTCGAAATATTCACTGCATTCACTGCTTCACGGAGTTTATCATAGTCGTCTTTCGCAAAATTCAAACGCTCACGCTTTCGAGGCGTCTTCTCTGTACAGTACTTAAGTCTGAAAAATAATAATTGGTAATGGCTTTTGCCCAACGGAGCCTTGTGACGAAGCTCATCTAGCATTGATTCGTCACTAGTAAGCACCAGGTCTAGAATATTGGGAGTCTGTTTACTTCTATAATGGGTTGGCTTAATAACCTGCTCACAACCTTATATTATATTGGAGATATCTATATATGGAAACTATAAGATATGAACTATACTATAACTATAATAAACTATAAGATATAAACTATAACTAATGCGCATTTGTCATCAGTAAACCCACATCTAAAAAATTCCAATGCACGAAGGTTTCCCATGACATGAAGACTCTTTTAAGAGTAAAGACTAGAAGTAACTCTTTTATTTTTAGAGCTTTTTTCTTCAATGTAGAGTTTCTGGCGTTAGTTGATCTAACACCATAATAAATTTGGGATAGGAATTAGCAAGGAATAATTGTTATTTTAAGTTCATATTAAGTTGCCATGTAGACTTTATATAGAATCTCAAGTGTTACTATCATTAGGCTCTGGCTGAGGTGAAATTAACGAAAATTAATCAGATTAGATATAACATGCTGTCTTTATTAGCTTTCGTTCTAGTACATACGTATAATGTCTCAATGAGCGTCGAAAGTTATTTATGTTTGTTTATTTCGCTTATTATTTGCCTATTATTGTATAATATTACGTTTATAAATATTTATTATTTATGCAGTTTCTTTACCGAGTATATATTCTTTCGAGTCGCGAAAAAATTTCGCCGAGCTGATAACTGTCTTCTTCGACTTTCACTTTTTCCAAACATTTCTTGATCCGTGCTTACTCAGACGCACTTGCATGGAACAGAGCCGTTATGCCACTCGCTCTTAATCTGTTCATGAATATCATTATGGCTGCTACCATCTGGCCGCTAACCTGTCACGTCTCTGACCGCTTATCTGACAAGTCTCTGGCAGCTAATCTGCACAATTCTGGCCGCTTACTGCCAAGTCTCCGACAAATAATCTGCAGGCTTCTGACCAATAACTTGTCGGGTCTCTGACCGCTAATCTGCCGGCCTTACCGCTAGCCTGTTAAGTCTCTGGCAGCTAACCTGCCAAGTCTCTGACAGCTAAGCTGCCAAGTCTCTGACGCCTAACCTGCCGAGTTTCTGGCCGCTTACCTGTCAAGTATTTGACAGCTAACCTACCAAGTCTCTGACCGCCAATCTGCCAAGTCTCAGACCACTAACCTACCAAGTCTCTGACCGCCAATCTGCCAAGTCTCAGACCACTAACCTGACAAGTCTCTGACCGCCAACCTGACAAGTCTCTGACCGCCAACCTGACAAGTCTCTGACCGCCAACCAGACAAGTCTCTGACCGCCAACCTGACAAGTCTCTGACCGCCAACCTGACAAGTCTCTGACCGCCAACCTGACAAGTCTCTGACCGCCAACCTGACAAGTCTCTGACCGCCAACCTG